GGTAAGATGATCCTTCCCATGTGTCTGTATGGATATATGTGTCCGACGTGTAAGGGCATATGAGAGGTGCACAGTCGGGTCTGCATTCACTCGTGACTAGGGATGTGCATCGCGTTGGCTAGTGCTGCTCAGTGCAGAGACTCAGACGACACTGTAGGAACTCAACACTAGCGAGTTGGATCACTAAACGGGTCAAAACGAGGAACACGTTATTAGGAAAACTGATACGATTATACATCCTCCAGGGATCTCACTCATGGACATGTCAAATCTGCTGGATCCTTTCCAGAGCACGTCATAGCTTCTGCTCGCCGAGTCGCTACCATCAACGGAACCGCTCATAAAAATGCCAGCCACCATATGATCTAAAATCGTGATGGAAGGGATCTACTCTCTCAACCAATAAGTTCCTCATCACGCTTAGCACACACGAGTTGACAACAACGGAGACGAGAAAGAAGTCGACAACATAGTGAGGAAATAGTTGTTGCTGCTCAGTGTGAAGAAGTCCCCATTTCCAGATTCGGTCCAATACCCGCGCATAGGACACTCTCACTAGCCGAATAGTGTACGTAACCGCCGTGCCTTCAGGACCAGATACACCCAACAAGACGACTGCATCGCCATCGCACAGGGCACAGTGAGCAATAGACTAGTATTAAACGCATACTCATTCCAATGCAGGAACAATCTCCGTAAGCCGGGAATCCTTCAGTAAACTATGGCCAAATCTTCAGCAGAAACTATTTTTGAGTGACATCCATACGAACATGCACACCAAATCTGTTGCAGAATGCTTCCACCAGTTTGCACTGGTGTTCTGAATACGCATAGTGCTCCTGGTCAACTCGTCGATTAATCATCTTAATAAGAGGTGACCACTCCCGGACAGTATCGCCGTCGAGGGACGCCATCAGCCGTACAAGTCGGTACACCTCAGCCTTGCCGTAAGTAGCCATATTATCTTGAGCGAATTGGAGTACTGCAGTGACGGTAGCACGCAACGCTAGCCTCCGCCATAAGAGGCCCCACGTCAGAGCGGTGACTATGGTAGGGTTCCTGAGACACCAGTGATGTCACAGACGGACACGATCATTACGTAACATAGAGTTACAGTACCGATATCGAGCATGTCGGAATTAAGCTATCCATGAAATCTAATGGCACTATAGGAGTCATATATCAGTTGCCTAATGTCATCTCAGCAAGACCAGGCTACGTCAATGGAGAACTCACCATGCCGGGATTTTCCTCACGACGATCGGTTCCATAACTTGAAAGAAACTAGGGAGAGACACTGGGTAGACCTCAGCCTCGAGTTTGGCCACAGCCACGAAGCATTTGACCAAAGGCTCTGCGCCCCATTGGCTGACTGCCACTTCCCGGGGAATAGTCGCCAAAACTAGCTCCCAAAATTCAAGCTGGGAGTAGGCCATGCGGTTACTGAAGAGGAACGCCACTGGGAGAGACAAGCGAGGCATTGCTTACGCTGCCTCGACAATGACGCTGATGATGATTTGGTCGTGGCTATCCATAAGCTCACGTTCACATCTCGTCCCTGGGCCGAACAGCTCTCGGAGGAAAGCTGTGGATGGTCGATGGACCACCGTGGGCAACATGCTGAGCACACGGATGAGCTCTCCGATCCTCAAGCCTCTCATGCAAGCCGGCATCCCCCTCGATATTGCCATCTCAACGGCTTTACCTGAGGCCCGAACACGGTGAATCATCTCAAGTCTTTTCTCGTCTCATGAGGAGTCGCGAACGATTCAAGGTAATCATCCACACTCGCACAGTGCGGTACGAAGCTCTTGAGGAGTAATGCCTACGCTACGCATTGTTGTGAGTATATCACATCGTCGTTGACCATTTATAGTCCTACTTTTCAACCCCAACTTCCCAACCACATGAACCAACGATGGTAAGAAGGCACTGTGTGTTATCTCATCTTCCGGTAGCTCGCTCAACCGGGAAAGTAGGGCTGATATCTGGAACAACAGGATACGTAAAACGCCCAACGAGCCTTCTTAGCTTAGTTGGTAGAGCACCCGCTTAGTAAGCGGGAGGTCGTCGGTTCAACTCCGGCAGAAGGCTTATCAATCAAATATTATACACAGATTTTAGAGTTGCTCGAGTCGAATGATAGCAAAAGTGTGGCTAACGCGTACGACGAACTCACAGCCCGCCGATCGTGCCGCTCCAATCTATTGAAGGATGCCAAGTTCGCACATACTTGCTCGAACGACATCTCGACTGCCAGGACGCGAGTGGCCGCAGCCAGACACTGAGATGAATCCACTGCAAATGGCAATATTTTCCTCTTTACCCTATATAAATCTGAATTCGAATACCGCAACTTTGTGAAGCCCTGGAGGATCGAAGTTAGTGCTAATGCTGAGAGTTTGTGATCATTCCTGACCACCCATGCTGCAACTGGTTCCAACAGTTCAAGCATATCATCTGCATCTATCCGTGGTGATGCGCGGAATCCCTCGCGAGGTCGCGGCGCGAGCGTATCTAGGAAAAAAATCTGCGTTCGACTCGGGAACTCCGAAAAAACCCCAACGGCATGAAACAATCCAGCAACACTCAGCGTTCGCATTCCGAAAGATGAAATGTGAAGTTAGAATACACGATCGGCAGTTAGAATGCAGAAGCGGTCAACTGCGTACTGTCCTCGCGATACTCAATCATGTTCGCCAATGACGTCATCAAGACGCTGAGCGGGTAGGCCTCCAGCCGTCTCTCGATCACAGGGAACTGGCGAGCCAGCAGACTCACGACCTGAGCGATTGATCGCGTATTCGTATTATAAGTCAAGAACCTCCGGGTTGAAGCAATGAGCCTTGCAATATGCATCAGATATGAGTGCAACATCGTCTGGTGTGGGGTCTGGCAATCCGTTTTCGATCAGTTTCTCTGTCAGAGTGTGCCTGCAGGGGAAAGCGACCATTCAAGAGGCCTTTACTGCGCAGGTCATCAAAGAGCTCTGATAGTTCCACTCACCAAAAATCTTCTCTTTGCAGCTTGACCATGGCAAAATGGTTAGTGAGCATCGACACCTCATAGCAGCGAAGAAAGGGAGCTAGCTCGAGGAACTCCGGAGCCCGGCGAATCAACTGGAAGAAGGCAACACAAGTTGCATAGTTTACACTCCTGACTGATGGATGATCACTTACGCCCTGAGCGTCCTTCTCGAGATACAACTCGTGGCACTCTTTCACCCAACTGCTCAATGACGCAATTCGGTCGATTGGAATATGCACAGCCTTGAGTGCACCTGCCCGGCTGATCGAGACGGCCATGAGAGAGATTCAAACTACAATGTAACTCATCCATAATAATCGCCCCGATTTGCGATATATTCAGCAGATATAAGTAGCCTAGACGTTGAGGCGAAGACGAAAATCTGCTTCGCGTGTACGAACAGGAATATTCCGACAACAAAACACAGCCTTCTTAGCTTAGTTGGTAGAGCACCCGCTTAGTAAGCGGGAGGTCGTCGGTTCAACTCCGGCAGAAGGCTTTGTTTTCCACACAACTCTTCACCATAGGATCTACCATTTTCAACCTGCTGGCACAGCCATAACTCTCCGGCCAAATGAACCGAATCAGCTAACCGAAAGGCCCACTCGTCAAACCCTCGAAAATTGATAAACAACAGCACATTAACCATCAGAAACTCATGTCACCTCCTTCGATGCAGAAACACCCACTCTCTACCTAGTCTCGAGTAGGCCGTCTGGAACACAGCTGCGAGGCCCGGGTCCATCACCAAGGCTCTCGTCTCAAAGCGCTCTTCTATGGCGCGGATGAGATTTGCGTGAGCCACTTCGAATACTCCCATCGCCGAAATCAACTGGGATATATCTTTAGCGTTGTACTGGTGCAGTGTTGCATGGGCCCGATCAAACAGTGCTCGTGCGAGCTCAGGATCGCAATGATCTGTCTTCACACATGCCGTTAATAGCGTCGTCACTGCCCTAGGATGCCTGAGAGACAACCCCGACAAATACCCTCAACAGCAGCACACAACGATAAGAAGCCGCACCAATCAACGATTTGCCTGGGCAGCGCTGAACTGACGCCCTCGAAAAGCCTCTTCCTCATGCTCTTGAATTGTGTGAGGACTTCAGTGGAAACGTTAGAGTTCTCAGATGTCACTCCCAGTCTGACCAAATCATTGGCAAGCAAGAGAGTCTCCATCATCTTACCTAGCGACAGCATAGACCACAGATGCAGTCGTTAGACCCTTCCACTGGACCCCATTTATCTTCGCAATTGCTTGCTCAACTGCTTCTTCCCACCACCCAACATCATATGTAAACCCAAGCCGCTGTCTGAAGACACTCGTCATGTATTGGGAAATATATTCGTTCTCTTCCGCTGACTCCCAGACTTCCTCACTACATCACGGAAATATACGCACGACTCAGGACGCGTAGAAGTGTAACGAAAACCAACGAGAATTTTCCAAAATTTCCTCAGAATCGTCATACTGTCACCAACACACGGTGAGACCATGTGCATACTCCCCCCACACTGCATTTCAATCTCCAGGATGAGAGTCGAAAAGCCTGGGACCTCAACGATCAAGCTCACTAGACCGTGAGCCAAGCACTCTCAAGTCCACCACAAATATCCCTACTCACGCCGTGAGCATTATCCCACCCAATCCTTCCTTCTCATAGCTAGCGATATACTCTCTGCATCTGCCATTGAATATTGCCTCTAGGAACTCCTTATGGGGGACCACTTGAACCAGCCGTGCCAGAGACGGCACTGTGAGCACGATATCAGTCATGCTCAACAGAGGCATAAAGCGAGGTAGATGCCGCAATATGCTCTCCTCCAACGTCTGGTGGCCTAACCAACAGCAGTGACAAATCCGTCACGCGCCACAAAATTACAGTCCGCTTCCAATCTCAGGAACGCAGTGAGAATTCCCGCAATAAAATTGGATACTTCGGGCAACTCGGACTCGTTCATCTCAGACAAGATAGTCTCAAGCCTTAGACATATCGCTTCCTCCTGAGACGATGATGCCATACCTCAAATTCGACGCCCCACACAGACCCCTCCAACTTTGAGAAACAAAGCTCTCCAGAGTTTGAAAACAATGGGAAAAAGGCTCCTAATGCGATGATGACATTTACATGGGAAACTGATTTAAGAATGTATTCGTAACGATGTGGAAAATTCGAAGATGAGTTCCCCCCAGGAACATTGGAGTTTCACCCTAGTGATATGAAAAACACTAGTGAGAAACATATTTCACGACTACCACATTCTTCACGGAGTAGTGAAACAAGTGAAACTTCATTATAGGTCTCTGGATGCTTCCCTGCCCCCCTTCCCCTCTCCTCCTCCTACAGCGTCCCAGTCATGCGTAAGACTCCTTGCCATAGCATTGATGACCATAGACAGCTGAGACAAGTTGAAGTCGCTCGCCATCTCGCGAACTCCCGCGACTAGCGCCTGCCAGCGAATCCCATAGTCCTAGCAGTTTCTGAACTTACCGTAAAAAGGTCTTCTCTATAATACTTCAACTTTGCAAAGCCCTGCATGGACTGTCCCATAGCACACACCCTCAGCTCGCGACGGTTAGCCAATATCCAATCTCCACACGTATCGAGGAAGGCGTCAAGCGCCTTCTTGGGCAGCCGGGTTGATGCTCTCCCTCGGTGCTCTCCAACTGACACCCCTCAATCGAGAAAAGTGACCGTTGGTAACCTCCCACTCCGGACAATGCATATAGACTCATCCAACCAACGAAAATATTTTTTCGTCAATCAATGAAATAATTTTCAACTATTTCTTCCACCCCAAAGAAATTGATATAGCAGGAATACTGTATACAAGCTCCCTCCGTAGGAGTGCGATACGCCCACTAAACGAGAACCAGTTCTCTCGATCTACTCAAGTGCAGAGGACGAAGAACGCTGGGCTATAAGACGATTACCTTTCCTGGGCTCGTTGAGCCTGCCCAAGCCATGCAACAGCACTGATATTGTGATATGGTCTATAGTGCCAACCACAGTGAGCAGCTGATCTGCTAGGAATAGTATGCACTGAATGATACCACATAAACACTGTTATCTCCCAGAAAGCTCACTTTCTCATCATAGTAGTCGATAGTCGCGAAGGCGTTTACAACACAAGCAACATCCCACGCCACAGGGTCTACCATGCCATACTCCAAAACCACACGAGAGACTTCTTTCCTAAGAACAGTGATGAAAGAGAACCTCCTAACCTCCCCAGTGTATAGGAAATACTGTGCGCAGGGAAGGATATACATCAATCAATGCATGTAGTAAGTTCTCGCCGAGGCCACGAATACTAGCCGTGAGAATCCTACCAGAAACTTTCCTGTCTGTAGCCCATCTTGGCAAAGTGATGAGAGACCAATCCCAACTCCCCCGGTCGCATCGCTGGCATGAAGTGTATCAGCTCAGGAGCTCTAGCAAACATACGCTCCCGAGCTTTGTCGTAAAAGTCCGTATGCACCGCGCCCACCAAAGCCTGGACGTCAGTGATATGGTAGAGGCAGCCACCCGAGCCTTGAAACGGTCGAGTGTACCGCAACTGGGTTGGAATTGCTCTTAGACTCTGTCTCACAGCAGTGGTAGTAGACATGTATTAGAAGGCACTAATTATACTATAGAGAAAAGAAGAAGACCTCAGAGCTAGATAGGACATATATGCCTATCGAAACTACTATTTTCACAAATTCCCGATGATTTCCGACCTCGAAATTAGCGCGGACAATCTTCTTTCTATCTGTGATAATCCCACACTTTTCTTTGGTTTACATTTCGAAGTCCTTTGAGGAGCAGCTTTCTAGAGCAATAACCTCCCAATTCAGTAACGTCGCAACACCACACGGTCTGCTCTAATACGTAGCATAATGAAACGGTCATCGTCATCTCTTCACACGAAGACCCACTGATCGGTGTGCTCGCCAACAACGGAGGCTGGATGGGGAGAGCTGACTGCAGTGGAGTTGAGGAAGGACTGAAAATCATCAGTGCACATGGCAAACTACACTATGAAAATTCCGACTAGATTTCGGAATTTCTTATTTGTTTTCATACACTTCTACCCGAATTCGTGACTGAACTTTCATAATCTGCAACGAAACTCTCCAACTCAGCTTAGCGGAGCGAAAGCAATTAACTCCAGGTGAATCGCCCACCCGTCGCATATACTACTTCGACAAGCATCGACTCCACCAGATCAGCTTCCTCCTCCTCTAGCTCACTATCCTCAACCCTCTCCAACACCCCCAAAGCTTCTTCACTATTCATACCACACCTTTCCAACTTCACCAATTCCTTCAGCAACACCGACACTGCCTCTGGAGGACAGTCATCGCTCACTATCAGCTCAGCTATCCTCCGTCCCTCCGGTCGTTCCCTCACCGCAGCCAGCTTTGAATAGAAGCCCAGCCTCCCCCTACCCAGCACTGCCTCTCCACCGTTGAGCCTATTAGCTGCTCTGAATACTTCTACCAGGCGCCCAACTCCACCTTCCTCCATAGACATACCATCAAGATAGTCAGAAATAAGCGGCTTCCCAGATGCAGAGACATCTTGTGACCTCTCCAGCCACCGTATAGCCGACAACACGTCCGTATCACTCAGAGCTTCAAACCGTTCCATGCACATTTCAAGTGCCACACTGGGAAGACGATAGTCCAAACTCCTCTTGATAGCCGCCATAAGGTCGTTCTCAGTCGGACACATCTCCTCTGAAAAAAGAACAAGTCACCAGTCTGCGCACAGCGAAGATTTCTCACTTGCAGTTTCAAGTAGTATCTTCGACAACTTCCTCCGTGAAAGTTTCTCATCATGTAAAGCCGCCGTATAGTCTTCAGCCAGACGATACCCCAGCGCCTTTGGTAGGGCGGGGGAAGTAAGGAACGCCACATAGTCACTCAGGTGCCTACCAACAGCAAGGAACGATAACACTAGACCACCATCGCGATCAAGAGGGAAGCAAAGTCTCGAGCAGACTACCCGTCTCGGTATCGTTCTACATCACTCTCTGCTGGAAGAGCCTCCGACAGACTACTCGAATAATAGAGTAAATCCACGATGTGGCACACCACCATAGAGTCACCAAATCTGCAACCAACATAATGCCTTATCCCAACACCTAAGACTTCTATTACTCCTTGCAATCCGCTGACAGCGTGCTCAACAACTCGTTGACATCTCCCGTTAAGCACGCATGCACAACCACGTCCATCGGCGTAACCTAGCGAGAATCATTCACCACAAACTTCATAGAGAAAAACATTCACCGCAGCATTCTTCTCATTTGACAACAATTTTGCTGCAGATTCAACGATCGTGCTCACGCCGCCTCCGGTGACATTAAGATTTGGGTAGAACCAGAAGTACTCTAGTATCACTTTCAAGTACCTATACGACGACCCTCAACGACCGAATACCTCACTAGAATGCTACCATGCAGTTTCCGACTCCACTGGCCCTGCCTCGGGCGAGGTTAGCTCGCACATACTCTTGGTGAGGAACTCCACATCCTGAAACGCGAGAAGTTCAAATTGAATGGTGGGCGATAGAAAAGTTCCCCTATATATATAAAACGTTTGACACTCATCTTGATCAGTGTAAACGATAAAAAATAATTTTTATTTTTTCATCCGCAATTCGGCAATTATAAGTTTTCATGCCCTGCACTACGTCACTGTAAGCCAAGCAGTACCCAAAACCGAATAATGCGTTTCCGATTACCACCGCTTCGCTCACCTCCTCACTGCCAGCGTTGAGCCTCCATATAAACGCCGTTTGTTCATGCTGTTCACCCATACTGCATATCTTACTCCAACCAGAGTAAGCCAGATTCCTACCCATACCACTGATTCCGCGCTTCTGTCCAAGCCTCCTTACATTCTATTATCTACCCTCTTCTCAAACTCTGCAGCGGTCCGGCTGTGCGTGGTGATATCGTTCATAGAGGGTATATCAGCATAGAAGGTGGCCAGAAGCCTCACGTCCTCATACAGTCTGATCAAACGACCATTCAAAAGACGATACAGTACGCGCAGTTCACAAGACTGAAGATAGGGTTAAGAGCAGGGACACTGGTTTCACTGTAAACTGCGAAAAGAACATTTGGTGAGTGCATTAGCATAATGACTAGAACTTAGCATTTTAAAATTCGCGTACTGTAAACTATCCCAAGGCGCAAGACGACCACTACCAAGTACCACAACTTCAACGACGAAGCTCCACTAGTCTCCCCAAACACGCTTAACTGGAGGATTTTATTTTCCCGATATTGGTCGCAAAATTAGTAAAATAAAAAAAATACCGTAAAATTGACTCCTCTGAATAATTCCTCCTCCCTACCCTTTATCAGCCTCATAGTCTTCACTCTTCACTTGCAGCCATTGTGTTAATAGCAGAGCCACGTGCTTTGACATATCCATACAAGCCAGGAACTGCACGCACTTCCAAAACTCCTCTTCCGACTCATCCGTGTCCTCTCCCATGAGCAAGTCGTGAGCTCTAGAGGATATCTACAACCACGTCTATGCCTGGGACCCAACACTAAGTAGTGTTGGAGGAAATATACGTTCCCTTTCCTCAGTTGGATTTACTAATCATACCAATTCGCGTAGAAATGTACATACAAAAATCAATCAAAATTCCCCAAAATTTTCTCACAACCAACACATGTAGTTGACCATGTGCGTATTTCTCCACACAAGCTCTGAGTTCCATAAAAGAATACATTTCCCCATAAACAAGAATGCTCACACTATGCCCCAAAATAGCGATATAGATCAGTCATCCTAGCGCATACTACTCAGTATCTCTGTCATGTCGTGATGAGCACATACAGTCAGTAGTCGAGATGCGTCGAGACGAGAGGCGACTCGTAATCTACACATACGAAGGTGTGCCAGCGTAAAATGTTACGCTTACGAGGCGTATGTGTGAAGCTTATGATAATCAAAGATACGCTACAGTTTTGCACTGTAATTTTACTATTGCAATAATGACAGGTTACTCACTCAGGCTTGCGAAAGAAGGCATCATACTTTCGAAGGCGTTCAGTTTACAATTTCTAGCAACAACCTCGCTACCATACACTATGCCCGAAGTCTACCATACACTATGCCCGAAGTCTACCAGTCGAATAGACGTCCCTCCTTACAAAACAAATGCCAATAATATCCACACATGCCAAGGCCCGACACAAAGCCTCATAATCAGCGTCTATTTGTGGCCAGTCCAACAACGCTGACTCCTCCAATGCATCCTCGACCTGGTTGAGTTCTATCACTAGTATTGGAGTAATGATGATGACCTCTACCTCTCGACGAGCCGCTTCCAGTGCAGCCTTCAGGCCCAGGGCGTACCCCTCCAGTTCCCTGTCAGAGACCTCCAGTTCATGACCATCCTCTGCCATCGCGGTTACTGCTGCCGCACGGTGTTGGAAACTCACGAATAGAGAGTGCAGACGAGATACTAGGGCCGATTGTGGTCTGATAAAGAGAACCTTAGATGTTGGCTCTACCCCACTATGTGGCGAGTAGTATGACGATTTTATAATTATGAAAATTAAAATTAATATTCTAATTCTGATATGAAAACTTGTCAATTGCTGTACATAGTGATACGCGCTAATTTATTAATAATAAGACTGAGAGAGGATAAACGTATAACAGCTTCTTTCCTATGCTCACCTTGGTAGTTCTCCTGACCTCTCAGGCACCCCAGACGAGGAAAGACTGCTAGTCGAGCCAGAGGAGGTAGTATCCATATGAGGGGAACCTTACCAAAGACTACCCAGTAACTATACAGACAACGCCTTGTATAGCAGATAAAGCGATGCACTGCACAGCTGCTGTAGTTGCACTCCTTTGAAAACGCATTTCATAGCATATGAATAGAATTTCCAAACTCATTTCGATTCACACAAAGAGTACAACAGCCGCTCTTCCATCAGCACTGACTATGAACATAAGCAGACTTCAGCAGAGTAAGTCTAGTAAACTAGATGCTCAACCATTGGAGCCCGCGGAGAGTTCTGAACGATAACTAGAGATCCCTTAGACCGAGCATGCATGTAAGAGGTAAACTCCATACAAGAAACTGAACGACATCCTTGTGCTCAGCCAAGCCCACGTCCGAGCCATATTCAACCGAACAGCAGCTGTTCTCGCCCGTCAAACTCCAATATACAAGACTACTCGCACTAATATGCTTTCCCCATATATGACAATTTGCTAGGTTCTCTGCCGACCTCATATTCTACAAATTGCCGCACGATTAACTTTCAGCTGCTACTAATGGGCTTTCCGTCATCCCCGGATAAAACGACGTGAATGCCATTGCAATGTTAAACCCAACAGCAAGTGTAATTAGAAACTGTACGACTCAACAGTGACAAACAGCTACGCCAGGAGCTCTAGCATAGCAGTTCTGGTAGAGTTCGCCGGTTGCTCCTTGTAAATAGCTCTCAGACGGCCCACAGTGAGGTTACGGAGCTTGGCCTCAGTCTTGTTGTCGACCTTAGGTGGTATGGTAGACAGCAAACCCCACAACGCTCTGAACACACAGCAACTAATTCCTATTCCACTTCAATTAGGAGAAAATTTCAACTAAAAAAATGGAAAAAAATCGGGCAAGTGCTGGTGCCCTAAAACCAACTACCTTACAAGTAATCAATTTGCTATCATCTGTTGGCTTCAGCCGAAAGCCACCGAGAGATTTTTAATACCGTAACTCCGGGAAATCATCAATCGACCAGCTGCTACATCAGTCACTACCTCACATGCTTCTCATCGTGCTCCAGGGCCAAGCAGTAGTACTTCCGAGCATCATCGATTCTGATCGATTACTTCAACATACACAACACTACCGACGATATTACTGTCCCGCGCTAGCCAGAAGCTCTGCATAAGTGAGAATGTTGTAGATGCTGTGAGGCATGGCCAAGAGCACCTCCTCAAAGCAATAGGCAGCTTGCCGGGCCTGGCCCTGCCCAGCGTACGCCATCGCCATCTGTTGCCAGAACTCAGGATCAGTCTGGAAGTTGGACACATCGTTCGACAGAGCCTCGACACCAGCCGCTGTGTTAGACTGATGAATAGACATTCAGGATGAGAGCAAGGTGTGGTATGACCGCACACTACCCCGATTTCTCCCAACTTAGCCGCCAACTTGCGTTTCTCAGTAGCCATATCATCGCTAGCATTCTCCATGATAGTCTCATATTCCGTTAGAGCAGCGTCATAATCTCCGCGTGCCTCGCTGCACTGGCCGACCTGACCCCAACGAGCATCTCATTCAGCGATACTCGCCAGCCTGCCCTACCAAACGCTGAACTCTGTGGGATTTCGGGAACCTTTTCTTGAGGGCTTTCAAACAGTAAGCACTCCAGTCGTCAGCACCAGCTTGTAAGGAGGCTAGCAGTACTTGTTCGAGCACCTGGCATTGACAAGAGTGTGACCAAAATCGTTATCGAAGAAATTACAGGCCATTTTTCATCACCAAGTTTGGAAGAGTATTTCGTCAACAGCTGCGAGCCTATACACAAAACGCTATGGGGGTCCACCTGAGAGCAGAAAGTGTTTCAAGATTGGATGTCAACAGGGCGAGGCATTTTCAACTGTTCGGATATGGAAAAAGAAATTCATTTTGCAAGCCATGACGAAAAATGTGAAAGATTGTCACAAAAAAAGAGTTTGTAAAACTCTCTTGCTTGCCGACCGACGAGACTAAAGGGCGTTATAGGTGAAATTCAGTGAGCCAGCCGGCCTACAGCAACAACTCCTTTGCTTCAGCATGAGAACAAGTGATGGCGAGTTTCTGGTCATCTCCAGAGCTCACGGTTTATTCGCATTCAAATGTAACACCATTGAGTTCACGACTGTGTCGGAGGGAATCGGAAATTGACGAGTTTCATTGAAAATTCGCAATTACCGAGTAGACGAGATCTCGTGCGAAACTCAAAGTCAATATTGAGTTTCTTCCTGACAAGATTTATATACTTCTGTGTCGTATTCCCACTTGTGCAAAGCTAGGTAGGCTACGAGACTGTTCACGCAGTCGTTGCCAAGTGGCACTACCATTTTCCTAAGTCTCATCTGCTGCAAATATGTGATGCCAGCGTGACAGCCTCCTTTCTCAGCATCGTGTAGGAGCTCTGAGATCGGCACTGCAGCGACGTCAGTCATTAGTCAGCGGCAAAAAGTCAAAGTGGAT